CGCCCAAAGCTGGTTTGTATAGCTTAATTCCCGCTGGCATCGAAGCGTGTCCCTTATATGACTTTTCAGCGTGACAACTGATATCCCTGACTGCGGTTGGCGACTTGGCCACCGCCTTCGACTCGGGAGGGGACTTCCTTCCCCCCTGGCACACAGACGGGGGCCAGGACCAGTGCGGCGGCCAGAAGTCTCCCTCTCGGCTGCTGGTCGCCCTGCCTGGCTTTGCTTTTTGACTCCGGCTAGGCTTTGCGTGGCCGGATTCTTCCACGCCTTTAACCACTTTCTCGCGCCTCGCGCGAGGGCGCCTAGGCGTCGTACAGCCTGCTCGCCTTCAGCACCTACCGAGCTCGAAAAGCGCTCGTTCGGGCTCGTCTCCCGCCCGGCTTCGCCCAGGCTGCTGCCTGTCTGGGCCCGCGCCGGGCCCGCCCTCGACCCCCGGGCCGCGGCCGCCGTGGCCGAGGTCGTGACCTCCTCCGCCCCCCCCCCCAACGTCGACGCCCCCTCCCCCCGGGGGCAGCACGTCCTCCGGGTCTGCGCGCGCGCCCGGCTGCTCCGGGAGCGGCCCCAGGCGCCGCGCTACGACGAGGAGGGCATGGGGGACATCGATGTCGAGGCCTCGCCGAAGCTCCCGTGGAGCTCTTGGCGCGAGGGCCTTGCTAAGGACGAGCTTCGCCTCCTGCATGTCTGGCGCGGTGGCGCCTCCTGCACCCCCACGCGTCGGGCCCACGGTCCGGCCCCCTGCCCGTTCTGCGGGCACGTCGCTGCCTCGGCCCGGCCGGCACTGTTGGGCTGAGTGCCCCCGCTTCGCGCCTGATCGCGCCGCCCTCGCTCGGGCGCATGGCGTCGCTGAGGCCTGGTGGGCTGGCCAGCCCAGAGTGACAGCCAAGACTGGCTGGAGCACTCTCGCCGCCGGCCCCACCACTGAGGCCCGGCCACGACTGCAGGTGATGTCGTGCAAGCTCGGGGTCCGCATCCTGGACGCACTGCCCCGGGACGCCGTCCTGGCTCCGGCCCGCAGAGGGCCCGCGGCTCGGCGGCCCGCAGCGGCCTGCCCTGAAGGCGCTCCGCCCTCGAAGCGGCGGCCCGCGCCTCCCCCCCCAGTCCGCCTCCTGACCCGGTTCAGGCGGGCGAGCAGGCTGGGACCGACGACGGCTTCGACTGCGACGTCGACGCCGACGAGGACCCGCCCCCGCCTCCCAGCGGGCACTTCACTGCGAGTCGGCGACCTGGGCGGGCGCGGTATCATGGCAACACCGACTACGGTAGACGCGATGATGATAGTGGCGATGCTGGTGACGATGTTCGCACCGACGAAGGCGCGGCCAGTGCGGGCGCCGATGCTAATCACGCCGACGGCGATGACGGCGCCCTCGCGTCGGTGATGGAGGTTTTGGAAAAAGTTCGGCACGCGCGCACGGCCAACGCGCAAGAGTGGCCCGCATGGTTTCATTTGACACGGATCGTGCCCCCCCAGCACGCGCGCAAGGGCGTGCGAATGATGTCGGCATGCGGCGCCAGAGGCCCGTTTGGCAGAATGCCATGAAAAATATTGCAAAAAACAAATGGTTTTCTTAAGAATTCGCAAGAGCGCGCGCGCAGGCTCTTTTTGAAAACTGATGTTGCTAAACATTGTGTGTTTGAATGGTTGTTGGACGCTCGGTTGTGAAATCGCTACGAAACCGATGGTTGTTTTTAGGATTTCGGCATGCGCGCGACGACGCGCGCGTGCGCACTTCGTCAGAGGATTCTCGCGACGGCACGCGCGCAAAGGCGTTCGAACGAGTTCGACATGCGCGCGCGAAGCCCGTTTTGTAGTAGTTTCTGAACATGTTGAATGACCTAGCGTTTTTGTTTGAAAATCCGTGTTGCAAAACTGTTTTCACATGTTTATTGGACACTCCATTTTGAAGTCCTTCCGAAACCTATTGTTTTTTGTATGTCGACATGCGCGCGCGACGACGCGCGCGCGCGTGTGCACTTCGTCTCATCTGTTTCAAGGGGCTTATGAAAATTTATGAACTTCGATAAACGAGTGCGCGCATACTATGTTTTCAGAAGGCTGGCCGGGGGGGTCGATACTGGCTGGGCTGGGATTGTACGAATTCAGACTTAGGGTGGACGACGGAGCAAAACCACATGTAACCTGCAAAACGGAAAGGTGGACCCATGAAGCAGGGGGGATCCTACTTCTCTTCTAGAGAAAAAACAAGAAACGATGCGGTGCAATCTATGTGATGCGAACCATGTGATGAGATCTATGTGGTGCTGGCCATATTGCGGCGACGACGCGGCGACACGGCGGCGACGTCGAGCACGGAGCCGCCAGGCTGCCAGCCAGGCCCAGACGACAGGCGGCGACGACGTGGCGATAAGGCGGCGACGCCGAGCACGGAGCCGCCAGACCGCCAGCCAGGCCCAGACGACGGGCGGCGACGAGGCGGCGAAAGGGCGGCGACGGCGAGCACGGAGCCGCCAGACTGCCCGCCAGGTCCAGACGACG